ATTGGTGAGCATGCAGATACTCAAACGGCCGACCGTGAACAGGAGGAGTTGGAGCAGTTTCGTTCGATGTACGACCGAGTGTCCTCCAGCCATCCTTCTATTATTCGTGACGCTACTCATGTACTTCATGACATGTTCCACACGTCTACCTTAGATTTTGAGGAACCCGAAGGAGTTGACCGTCCTCGAGGTCGGCAACGGCGGAACAGGAGTGCGTTTGAGTATATCCGTGGTCTTGGTCGTGGTCGTGCTCGTGGTCGGACATCGTCATCTAGTCGTAGTCAATCTTCATCGTCTGTGAATATGCCCCTGAGAACTGGTACGTTTTGGTTTTTGACATTGCACATTGTTTATAAGGTTACTCCTGCCTTCTTAACTGTGATTAATTATATGGTGAATAGGAAGAAACGATGTTGATCAGTTTCCGTACAAGGACAGGATACCTGCGATCATCATGCCGTACTTGGAAGGGTGGAATGATGTAGTCGGAGACGGTAACTGCGGATTCCGGGTCGTGGCTGATGTTTTTCAAATGGGCGAAGACAACTACGGTTTGGTGCGTCAGTTGATGTACAACGAAATTGCCTCTAACCGAAATGTTTATCGTCAGGTGTACCAGGATGACTTGAATGGCGCTCTGCGGCGTATCCGGTGGGGAGGTGGACCTTGCGGTCAAAATCATTATTTTGACGCGCCCCTAGATCTGTTTGCCGTTGCAAACATTTACAAGTGCGCAGTCATGCATTTCGGGCTGGGATTGCATAGTCAAGCTTATTATCTTTGTACCACGGTTTCTCCCTTGGCGTTCGTGTGAGACTGTCACCACACCGGTCAGAGAGGTAGCTATTGCGTTTCTTAGGTCGTCATACAGACATTTCATCCGACTAGACATGTCATCCGATTTTCCAGTGCCACCGATTATGCCTCGGTGGTACACCATTCGCACAGCGAGCGTAGAGGGTTGGGATGCGCTATATCATGACCGGATCCACGAATGGAACACCATAGCTGCATTTTAGTTTTTCATGTTTACATTCTTCCTATGTAACCTTATTTGTACGTTGCTCTTTTAATGAGAACATTAATTTTTTATATTGTATTGCTTACTGCATTCTATATGTTGCATGGGTAAGTTGCGCGGATCCACAAACGGTTATGTCAAAATTTAAAAACAACAATGATAATATGTCAAAGTTGAAAGCTAAAAGAACAATCTAAAATGTTACAAACTTAAAACATAATGTCCAATTTAATAAATTAAAACGATAATATTTAAAGTGCTCTATAAATAAAATGACAAAACCATCAGTAATCCCTCCTCGACGCCGACTCCCAATGCGCAAGGGTCTGTTCCATACTATCAACAGCAGCTCTCACTGTTGCACTCATGCTGTCCTTCTCCAGAGAGAGTTTCTGTACGTCCTGCATTATCTTTCCCATCCACTGCATACAACAAAAAATAAAAGATGAAATACAATAACAACATATAAAACTTAATTAAAAACAACGATAAATATTTTATGAGACATACCGCTTCCATGGCAGTAGGCGGTGGCACATAATCATCATCGTTGTGGTCGAGATCTGCGATCAACCTCGGGTGCGAATACCGGTTGAACCATTCCATGTAGTAGTGGTCGCACATGGGAGGAACCCCAGAGGGCGGCCTCTGCAACTCCGCAGTCCATAAGCGAGCCACCATCGGAAACTGGTCCCACGTCCCAGTCATGATATCCGGCCATTGCACGACGTAGTCCCTCGACGATGCAGGTCGGACCGCCTTCATCGGGCATGCCGGGGGAGGAGGGACAACTTGGACAAATCCAAGCTGGCGAAGACAACGCTGGGGCATGTACGCCTCGACGATCTCACGATACTGAATGAGTCCCGTGTACAGGGTCCTGGGTACCCTAACACTAGGGTTCGGGCCGAAAGGCATCCAGTTCACCTACACATAGTTTTAAAATTTAATACCATGAATATAATATGTGCATATAATAAAATGTAGAAACAATTTATAAACGTTACCTCTAAGGGGGACAGCCTGTCCAGCAATAACTGTATCGATCGGAGGCGGTCAACGGACTTCTTCTCCGAGCGCGGACTCCACGCACAAGCACGCGGCATCCCCTCATCAATAGGAACCGGATCACGATGTGGTCGCAATGCAGGAAAGTACTCGTATATCCAGGTCTGCAATAAAGTCAGACACCCAGTGATACCTGCCGCGTCAGCCCGACTCACAAATCCTAGTTGGCGATACAAATACGCCAACGTAGTCGATCCCCAAGAAAACTGGCCTACACTGTCGAGGTCACACGCCTCTACTATGTCGCGTGGCCTGAGCTTATTTCCACCGCTCTTATCCGGAAACAAGGTACATCCGAGGAGTAGAAAAACATAAGCAGCCAGTTGTGCGTCGTGCGTACTACGTGCACTGGGGTACAAACACCGCTGCAACACGGATGCGATCTTCACACCGCCGTGTTCCCAAACACCAAGCGCCTCGGTGTACAGTGCAGCCCTGTCCACCGCCAACAACTCCGCCAGCAAATCTGCTTGATCCGCATCAGGCACAGCACAAAGTCGTTTACCCTCAACACGAATCCCCAGAATGGCCTCGACGTCATGTAACATAATCGTCATCTCCCCGAACGGAAGGTGGAAAGAGTTTGTATCCGGCTGCCATCGCTCAACGAAAGCCGTGATCAGCGTACTGTCAATCTTATCGTGCATGGTGGCAGGAACGTGATTCACCCCAGTGCCCTCCAGTCGCTTGAACATCTCGCTCTCCACTGGCCAAGCCTAAGCCCATGTACGCAAAAAGTTACCAGTCTTTTCCCGGGTATGACATTTCAACAACCCCGTAAGAGAAGGCCTCTCCTGGTCCTCCCAAATACGGGCAGCTTTGTGTCCTAGAAAGCTAGAAATCACACTCCCGTCAACAGGCCCACCGGGCACCTCACTCCTAACAACCCAAGAATCATTAACGGCCCTCGACCGTTTCCTGCTTGCCCCAGATACAGTGGACGCAGATGATGTGCCAGATCTACTAACAAACCTACCACCCCTACCTTTACGCACCTCCACTATATGTGTCTCGTACATGTCATCAACCCTCTGACTGAATGGACCGTAATCATCATACGGTCCACTCCCATCGTCCACATCCTCATTCTCATATGCGCCCTCCTCCTGGTCACCCTCCTCAGCATCATCATCGTCATCGTCATCCTCATCCCGACGGTGGATCCGTTCTCTACGAGCCGAGGCCGAAATACCACGGGATCTAACATGTCTATGCCCCGACCTCTCCACTGAATAGCTTCTACTAAGAAGCTCTACATTCTTCCCCGCACCATGACGACCCAGTGAATTCTACAAAAAATTTAAAAATATATAAACATACAAAAGTTTTTTAGAAAAATAATAACTACCTACATATACAAAATACCAGCACTTCCAACATATCGTCATGTTTATAAACATAAAATTAATAAAGATTATAAAAAATCAAAGACATGATAACTAAATAGGACACAAAACAAAAATTTTAAATTATTTCAACTAATTAAACATAGAAAAATATTATACGGCATACACAAATACACACATAATACCCTAATATATTACAAAATTTATGATTTCCAAAAAAATTAAAAATTATTTCAAATAATTAAACATAAAAAATAAAAAACAAATACATTACACATACACAAATACACACATAATACCCTAATGTATTACACATTTTAAATAAAAAAAAAAATTACACATTAACACAAACAATTTCCACATACTACATCAATTAAGGCATAAAAAATGTTTAAACATCAAACATAAAAAAAAATAAAACATAAACACAAAAAAAAATCTGATTTTATAAAAATAAAATATACACGATTTATAAAAAAAAAACACATAAAGTTGATAAATATTTAAAAAAAATAAAACACATTAACAAAAAAAAATTAGACATAAAAAAAAATTATTTTAAATAAAACTAAATTTCTGATTTTGCAAAATAAAAAAAAAATCAGAAAAAACAAAAAAAAAATCAGTAAAAACAAAAAAAAAAATCAGTAAAAACAAAAAAAACAACAAAAAAACAAAAAAAAACAAAAACAAAAACAAAAAATACAAAAACAAAAACAAAAACAAAAAATACAAAAAAAGAAAAAATACAAAAAAAAAAGGGCGGGCGCCTGGCCAGGATGCCCACCCACTGGCGGTGGCGCCAGCTCCGGCAGCCGTAGCCAGTGGGCAGGCGCCTGAACTGGACGCCCACCCATTGGCACAGGCGCCAGATCTGGACGCCACAGCCAATGGGCTGGCTTCTGGTTTGGACGCCTGCTCCGGTGGCTGGGCTTCCAAGCCAGACGCCACCCCACCGGCTTTGACAGCCGGACCTGACGCCCACCACGCGCCGTCTTCTTTTTTTTTTTTTTAAAAAAAAATAATTAAATAATTACCTTTCCACCAGGTCGCCGCCTTTCTTCCGCCGTCGCCGCCGCCGCCTCTTTTCCTTGCCGCCTCGACATTGTCGTAATTAATTTTTTTAAGAGAGGTAGATTTTCTGATTTTTTTTAGAGAGATGTAGAGAGTGTTTTTTTTTTTTAAAAGGAAAAGGGCAATAAAGTCACACCAAGTCATATTTGTGGGCTTTATATGGTAATTTGTGGGCGATGTTTAACAAATCCCCTTTTTTAATGTGGCAAAATGGGACTAATGGACAATAAAACTACACATTGATTCAAATCTAACGATGACTATAATTTTTTAATACAAGTATATATTAATGAGAAAATTTAATCAACAAATTTGACACTTTGACTATATAAAATCAAGATAGGAACATCATTTGAACGGAGTACAAATATTGGTAATCAAACTCAACCGTAGATGATAAAATAAATACATATTGCGGATTGTATCAAATTTAGCTTAGTAAATTGTAGGGTGTTTTTAATAATGCAAAAGTCCAAATAATGCAATAAAAATTAATCGAGAAATGCTGCTGTAAAAAAGGCGCAAACATGTACCTTACATTATTACATAGTGTACCTGTACTATTTGTTATTCACTTACCTCTCGACAAAGCTTTAAATATGGGAGAGTTGAAGGTCATAATAAAAAATGACTCGTTGCAAAGAATTGCTTCAGTTTTCAAAAGCTTTAAGAGGGTCTTTTGGATTAATTTCTGAGAATAGTGGCAGATCAACAGGCAACAATTCTAGGCTCACTCCCAACTCTTTCAGCTTCTTGACAACTTCCTCGAACACAATCCTGTTGCCACCTTGGGCGAGGTGCAGGCCATCACTGCACATATACTCAATTTTATTTTATGAACAAAAACAAAAAACACACTAGTAAACACATCTGCACGCAAAACAATAATTGATGCCTAATTCTTCTCAGCAAAACTTTCCAACTAAACAGAGTACTTTTGTAACAGGGTTCTATGATGCAGAACTACAGGAGAATTCTCAGATATGTTCTAGTCTGCAGAAGCCATAAAGTATCCATGAAATCTCAAAGAAAATGTTCTAAGAATTGGGTGGACAATCAAAAATAATTTATAATAGTGCAAAAGTAAATTTTTGCTATGAAAATAAATGTACGAAATGCAATACAAATATTGTACTACTTTGTTTTATATAAGCCTTGGCCCCCTGAGTTTTAATTCCTGGCTTCGCCCCTGGTGGACATGTTTGGTTCAAAAGGAACCAACACCCTGCTATTTTATTCAACCATTTCAGGGCTGAGTTTATCCATGAAATCTCAAAGCATGATATATATAATTGTCAAATACGCCGAAGATGATTATCAGTTATCACTGATGTGATTTTGAGATAACGAAAAAAGACGTAGATTTTAGGGCTAGGGTAAATGGTTATACTTCGTAGATATATCAGTCATCAATGTGTAGTATGCACAGTTTGCTAAGGATTTTCTTTGGATGTAACAAGGCTAATTAAGTGACAACTAATACCATTTTGAGATCTGCACAGGATTGCCTACTGAATACTTGGCATTATTATATTGAAGGGAAATGTTATTCTTGTCATGATAATGCAGTGGTGACTACTGACTTTAGCATCTCTACCTATATAGCTCTATGAAAAGTACCTGAGACATGAATTTTTCCAATCAGAAAATTCTTGCATCTTGGTCCACATATCAATTACTGGTGTCGCACATTCTCTTGCAACATCAACGCATGCTTTGGCATAGGCACCAGCAGCCTCATTTGTTCTCTCAGGTAGACCACTTGGATTCTCAATGTAAGGGTGCCTGCACCAATTAAATCATCAAAGTGAATACAGTGGTAAATATGATATTGGCCGGGCTACAACTTGCAAGATAGTAAACTGATGAAAATATTTATATTAATTATAGAACAGTATAAGCTGAAGGAATACTCAACAGTAAACGTCCAGCTTCATCAATTGGAGGGGGGGTGATGAAGAGGATAACAGCAGTCTCCCATTTTTTCTGCACCCAATAAAAGCAAGTTCGAGCCCAATTTTAGAATTTGTGCAGCAGTTAGCATAAGTACCAGCACTTGACTGGTTCAGCTTATGTAACACAAACTAACACAATGACAGATGATTATACATGTACCAATATAACATTGAAGCCAAGGAAAACCAGGAATCTAGCACTAAATGCACATTCATCCTAATAACGCTTCATTGTGAACTAATCTTTGGCCTGAAGGACTTCTAGAAAAAAGGCCGCTGCGGGAACTTCCTTTTCTGAGGTAGTTTACCGGCCTGACTGAAAGAAGTAGGGTTCTAACAAAAGGCAAACACCATCATACATTATATATATGGCTTTTAAAACCCTCCCACAAACATCATTTGCCAAAGTGACCACTGAAATTTCAAGTTGCTGTGGGGATTTATCTTGATCTCCCACTCCCATTGGATTGTAAAGTTTCTGCCTTTGATAATAAATGTAAAGATTCAAACCCATCTTTTGGTTAGTTATCCAATGTAGGCTTGTAGCTTCATCTGCTAGTACGTACTATGTAGTACTGCCGCAGTTCACGAGTTCAAATTTAATTAGGAGGATAACCCAATTAACACTATATATATGTATAATCCGCTGTCAACTGATCATCTAAGTGGCTCCTCTATATATGGTTGTTTTAGATATCAATTTCCCATTTGTAAGGAATAATTTGTAGCTGGCTAGCATTCGAATAAATTAATTTCTCATCATATTGATGCATATTATACAATTTCAAATATATTTCAATAGCCATATTGTCAGATTCCCATAAGTCCATAACTCAACACAAGTGCCAAATTGTCCATTAGAATTTGGAGACATTTTCAAGGATCAAAAGTTTCAAATTATGAATAATTAAATTTGGTTCATGTAGCCAACCCCACTTATGGGATTAAGGCTTTGATTGATTGATTGATTGAAAAGTTTCAAATAACAATATAGCATATATGTTCCTGGATCACTTCCTTTGAGTTTCCTAGTTATCAATAAATATGGTCAATGGGATAGCATACTAATTTGCTTATTTCCTTTTAATCTTCTTCCTTCTAATTCTGATTTATACACTTGATGCACTATGCATTCCCCACTGCCTATGTTTAATTTATTCGGTTTGCAATCCTGTTCATCATATACTATGAAGAATAATATCTCTATGTTACCATGCTAGATAAACCTATGAGTACCTCTCATAAAATGCATGCGGATTAGATAAACTAATATGGTGAATCACTAAAATCCAAAAGTTAATATCTAAGCCTAATTTATACAAGCATGAAAGGTGCTCTGATCCCACATTAACAACATTCTATAGGCTGTAACATGACAAACATTCTTTTTTTAACATTCTGGATGCAATGATTGCATTACCAAATTAAATATTGCATAATCGATGACAAATCAAACCACAAGAAAGAATAACAAGTGCTTTGAAACTTAGAGCATTATGGAAATCAAACGCCAACCATGAGAATGACATGCACTGTTGGACACAGAAGTATGCGCAAATTAAGGCTTACGATATCACATAAGTTTCAACATAAGAATTAAGAAAGTGGCGATAACTGATTTCCATGTAGGGAGCTTTTCCAAATGCATTGCAAACTTTTACTCCATTTCAGGGAGCACTTTTTGTAAGAGTCTTGTCAAGAATAAGATGACATAGGACGAATGCAGCTAAAGGGAGTGCTTAATACTTCAAGACTAACAATATAAACTCCCCCAAAGGAGAAGAACAATTCTTTGTACATGAGTATCAATTTGACATGAATGAAATACAGAGTAATACAAATTTGACTAATTGAATAACACAATGCAATTTTTTTTTTTTTTTGTGCCAAATCAATATTTAATTTGATATTGTCAAATACTGATTTTTTAAAAAAATTATTAGCAATTATATGTATTAAAAAGAGATGGGAATGGTCCATCAGTTACATCTTTCATAGTTTTATAGAACAATAAGGCTAATGTCTCTTTTAACTTTGCCCATTGGCAAAACGTTAGCCAATAACTTTTTGGGAAACTAATTCTTTAAATCCAACCCTCCTCCAATCTAAAAAGTAATACAAATATTCAACCAAAGCAATGCTTGACAAATCCTTACAAAAGTAAGATTAACTCCATGAAAAGCCTAAGATACCACCATACCTATTACCTATCCAATATGTTTACTGTCCGGATTGGATTCTTTACGAACCTTCATATCACAACCCTTTCCCAAAGTGGCGTGGTCCTATCAATCCTATACTACCAAATATACTTCCGCCATGACACCTACTATACCATTCATTGCTTGCAAAGCATAGCAAGTCAGCAACAAAAGTTACTTATACACAGTATTATATAGTTACTCTCAAATTCAAAAAAAACAAAATGAAACCACAAAAACAAACTTCTCTGCTAATCTATCCATTTTGATTACAACCAATGACAAAACAATAGAAGCTACTCAACTTTCCCTATTTTTTCCTATTATGCAAGAATCGAATGGCCAGTAACAAAATTCGATAACCCTTTTAACTTGAGACAACGGTCAATGGTTTAGAACTTAGTCTGTTTATGTTATACCAATTCCAACCACGTACTCAATCCTAATATGTCATTAATCAAACACCCCTATACTTAAATGATCTAACAGGCCCGGGGTCACATTCATCTATTGAAATTTAAGCCGAGGTCATAACTACAAGTAATAAAAACTTTTAACCAACTAAAATTGCTGACATCCATAAATCAATGTTAAAAAAAATAAAAAAATAAAAAAATAAAAAAAAAATGTGATCACCAAATATACTTAGAAGCAAAGTCGACAACTTTACAAACTGACACTCGTAAACATTCTATTATGCTCCACATGTGTGCATAACACAGAGACAGAAAGAAAGACTCTTAAAAAGAGAGAATTGATATGATGACACACCTTGAGGAAAGAGAAAATGGTGCGAAGGTTTTCTTTGTATTCATCCAAAGGCACGTGTTGAAAGGCAGCATAACCATCATGAAGACAAGCATCATTGGCCCCAAAAAACACCGTCACCGCCATTGGCGCCGCTTCATCCACCGCCGGAAACACCTTATCTAACACTTTCACCGCCCATCTAGTATTGTACCCACTGTAACCTCTCATCAATATATCAGCCTGAAACCCAGATTTTTAATCAAATTAATCAAAACCCACAAAAACCCAGATTCATAATCTTGAATAAAATCAAATTTTGCAAATTCCCAAAAAAAGAAAAGAATTGGCGTCATTGAGGCATATCGTCGAACAGTTGGTGTGCATACCGTACGAGAGAAATGATTAGCCAGTGAAGCTCCCCAGCCTCCATTGCTAAATGATTCTTCAGTAATAGAGTCTCCAAATAGGTAGATTTTCGGTCTCATGGTGTTTCGCAAATGATCTGCTTTGATGCGACACAGTCACACAGTTTTGAAGGAGTGGTAGAGGAATCAATTGTTAATTCATGGAGATTGATGAAGTATTAATTTATAAGCTACATAATGTAATTCGGAGTATTGGAGTAACAAATATAAACAGAGGGAGGGAGTGCTGTAAAAAATAAAAAAATAAATAAAAAATAGGAAATTTTGACTTTTGCTACCACAAAAAACCTTGAGTTTCATTTTTGCTACCCCTTAAATTTTTTTATTTTATTTTATTACCACCTAAAAACACCTTTGTCAAAATTTGCTACCACTAGACGGAAGTTGTTAGTTTTGCCGTTTGTGGGCCCCACTTCACCCCTCTCCTCCTTCCCCAGCCACCAATCCCCTTCCCCTGCCTCTCTCTCCTCCTTCCTCAGCCACCAATCCCGTTCCCCTGCCACTCCCCCTCCACCCTCTAGCCACCTGTCCCACATCTCCCCTTCCCCTGCCGCTCCCCACAATCGATGCACTACCCCATAACCCCAACTGGCGACAGTGAGAGTTTCGAGGGTGGGGTTGTTGGGGTTTCGAGGGGGTCGCCGGAGATCGAAAACGTTTAGGGTTAGGGTGTTCGAAAAGGGTAGGGGAAGGGTAGGGGGGGTCGATTTCGGTGGGGGAATGGGGAGGGGGGCCGATTCCGATGGGGCAAATGGGGAGGGGGGTGGTTTCCGGTTCAGGATGGGGGTCGGGGCAGCAAGAGGGGGAAAAGCGAGGGGGGTGGCTGTGTAGGTGGGGGTCGCCGACGTTGGTGGGGGAAAGGGATTGGGGTGGCTCGCTGACGTTGGCCCAAGTTTTGGCCGCCAGTCACCGGCAAGGGGGAGGGGGGAGGGTGGCTGACGGGAGGGGGGCAATTAAGGGTGGTTGGTTTTTTTTTTTTTTATATACATTTTAAATTTTTTTTTTTTTTTTTGTATAAACTTAGCGGAATCTTGAATAAATTTAACGGAATCTTAACGGATTCCGTTAAGTGGTAGCAAATTTTGACAAAGGTGTTGCTAGGTGGTAGTAAAATAAAAAAAAAAAAAATTTAAGGGGTAGCAAAAATGAAACTCAAGGTTTTTTGTGGTAGCAAAAGTCAAAATTTCCTAAAAAATAAAAAAAATAAAAAAAATAAAAAAAGAAAGAAAATCAGTGTTTCTATACATCATGGTTTCATTTTCACGGTTAGAAATTAGGTGACTCTTTTTAGTTTTGTTTTGTTTTTTTTTTTTTTTTCAAATAAATCAATTCATTAATCAAAAGCAAGGATTTCCTTCGTCAAAGTTACGATCGTTGAATAAATCTTGCATTGTGGTACATATCTCGCACACATCGCTAGAATATAGCGTCTTTTCAGAGAGATGGTCTAACGATTTGTTGTAGCCGTAAAGATGATTTTCATCTGATTCATTTGAATGCATTTGAAGATTTGACAACCGTTGCGATCCCAAACAACTCTTTACCAATGAACTGATAATAGGGGAAAAGATGATTACATTTTTAATAAATCCTAAGACACAAAAAAAAAAAAAAAAAAACCCAAACAAAAACAAACAACTAAACCAACAAAAACTAACGACTCCACCATAGGGAGACACTCCATCATAGGGAGACAGATGAACATTTACACTACTTGTGTAGATTTATTGAAATCTAAATTGCAAAACTAAAGAAAATAAGGGAAAAAAGTGTCGGAAATAGTCTAATTTTTGAAGAAATGAGACTATTTTCGGCCTAAACGGTCAAAAAATTTAGAAAACCCTAGAAGAGAGGAAGGGAGGAGCGAGAGGAGGAGAAAGAAAAAAATCAGTTATATCACTCATTTACACTAAATTAATTAGGTGTCTTTTCAACACTGCAAATCATTCCAAGTTTTTTTTTTTTAAAACCAAATCATTCCTAATTTAACCTTTGCTGAATCATTAAAAATATAACTAAAGGTGCTTGAAAAATAAATTATAATTTGAGGCGGTCATGGTTAGAGGTATCAAATTAAGTGTCCGGGTCAAGTTTGATGAGGTCCAATCGAGTCTATTTCAAACTTAAATCATACGGAGTACTAAATTATTGTATCCATATGAGCCAAAATTTGGATCGGGTTTTTTTGGGTCGGGTCAGATTTTGACACATCTAGTAATGGTCAGGTTTTGCCAAAATATTTGACCCATTTCAGGCCAAAATATGGTTGTACAAGCCCACTAATTTTGGGCTGGGCTAAAACAAAATTAACAAACCGTTCAGGCTTAAAATGGCGCTATACTTGTACTGCCTAAACACTTTACAAAAACACTCATGCCCAAAAATTCTGCCTAAACTCGAGTATGTTTCGAGCTAGCTAATTTTGATCAATTTTTCCAACTGTGCAACATGTCACATGACTCACATCTGTTCGTCTATCTTAGGTAAGTTGCTTATAACTAATATAATTATCTTTATACTTTAGTCCAACTTTAGTGACATGTTGCTCAAAATTATCCTAGAATATGAGAGAAAAAGAATCTTTGAGTAATTAAACCATTTCCAATGGTGAGACTCATTGAAGGTTTTTTTGAGAGAGAGGGGGCATTTTTTGCAAAGAATACCAATAAGTTGGTTTTTATACTTAGACACTCAACTTTAAGTCTTAATTGACAAATATGTGGGCCTTATCAATTTTATAATAATTTGGGTTTACTCCATCTATCCCATAATAACTGACACATCCAACTTTTTACACATGTCGATGCACTAGTTTGACTTTATTTTTATATAATTAAATACTAATGAAAAATATTTATAAAATTATATTATGAAACTTTATATATATACCTATCTAACAACATATTTTATGATTAAAATATATATTTTTCTTATGTTAGTAAAAAATTATGATTAAAGTTAATACATGAATAGTGAAAAAAGTCCAACACCCCAATTATTCTGGACGGAGGGAGTATAATTTAATTTTTTTGTCACAACAATCTCTAACAAAAAACAAAAAGAAGTTGTGTATGGTGGTCCATAATGGAAAGTGACAATGGTATACTTAAGAGAGTCTTACACTCTCACCATTGGAAAATTATGTATCATATAAGTTGCTAAATTGAGAAGTGAGTTGGGTATCACCATTGAGTGTGAAAAAAAAAAAAAACTAATTTTGTATTTCAATACTCAAAGTTGAGTCTCACCATTGGAGATGGGTTCAAATCCTCTATACCCACTAATTAAGGAAAAAGACTAAACTACCCCTTTTAAACATTTAATGTCTCGATTTGCGTAAAGGTTTACCGGTGGGAAGGAACATAAAGTAGAGATGTATCAGTGGGAAGGCAAGATGTTAATAGTGTACCAAAGAGAAAAGTCAATTCTAGAGATATACCAATAAAAATTCCCTAATTGATAATAGCAAATAAAATTAAATGCGTAGTAGAATTTACGTAATAATTTATATTCAAGTACTTATTTCTCTTTCTTTTCTTGTATACAATTACATTTAATTCAACTCCATTACTTTTTAAATTTTTTTTCTTTACTAATTTAACATAATTTTTCTACTTAAAATTCTAACGGCCGCTTCTTATAAGTCATTCTCTCACAATATATTATACTTAACCAAGTTCAATGGAGTCACTAGATTCACCCTCAACATAACAATTGCCGCAACGTCTGTACACTCAAATTATATCACCGATTCAGTAAAGTTAGATAGGACAAGATAACAAAATTACTTCTCATGGTATATCCATTACATTAAAATTTTGGTACTTTGATATTTATGGATGCAATAAGAAAGAATGAATTGAGGTAATTAAACACAAATATTAGAGTTCTTGTAGAGCTACAGAGGTATTACAAAAGAAAAAAAATAAATTTAAAAGCAATAATAGAGATGAATCAAACATAATTGCATACCAGAATAGAAAAAGAGATAAGGACTAGATTATTACTTATAATTGCTATAAAAATTAAATCATGAAAGGGGAAACTTAAAATGATATGAACCAATAATATTGAATGGTACATGGAATGAGACATAGTAGGAGGATAGAGAATTCAGACCCATTAGAGATGGTCTTTTTTTTTTTTTTTTTTTTTAATCATTTTTAAAATTTTATCTTGCCAATTATCTATTTACTCTATATGTGAAGAACAGAAGAAGAGATGAAGAATGTAAAATAATTGAAATTCCAAATCGTGAAACAATTGAGTTTAGAAGAGGATTAATTGCAAATAGATTGATGAATGCAATTATATTGGAATGAGCAAAAGATCAAAAAGAAAGACTATTGAGACAACAAGTAGTATAATACACCCTAAAATTTCTCAAGATAGGCTGCTAAAAAAATGTAGTGAATTGAAGTTTCTTCGTCATTTTCATCTCTAGACATTTTAAAATAAGTTTGTCATTGTTCCATTTTAGACCTTTTCCTTTGTTTGATTAGTAATTACGCATGCAATGTGTATTTTAAATTTTGTGTAAGCAAGTATAATGACTATAATCATATAAAATGTCATACTTCATATTAATTTAAGTTTTTTTTTTTTTTTTTTTTTTTTTTTTTTTTTTTTTTTTTTCATGTACACATCAAATGTAATATTTAGGCCCTGTTCACTTCACTTTAAAAAAATAATATTCTGTAAAAATAATTTTAGTTCAGTTCAGTCAAAATAAATCCAGTTCAGTAAAATTAGTAACTTTAAGAAATATAACAAAAAATATGTAAAAATAATTTCAGTTTAGCAAAAATAATTTCAGTTTAGTAAAATTAATTTCAGTCCAGTAAAAATAATTTAAGTTCAGCAAAAATAATTTCAATTCAATAAAAATAATTTCACTTTAGCAAAACTAAGGTGAAGTGAACAGAGCCTTATAATACTTCGTATAATGTTTCATATGATGATTATTAGACTTAATAAAATTAGGTTATCATTAACAACATATTTCAGGCAACTTGAATGAAAGGTGTAGTAGAACCTTTGAAAACAAGAAAATAAAAAAAGGTGTTGAAAATATATACCACCTTAAATCAACATCTTTAATATACCCTCATGTATGTGCACATACACCAGGTGCACCTAAGGGTAGTGTTTTTTACTCATTTGATTATTTTATTTATTTATTTTTTTCTTCTCATTTTAAGATTTAAATTTTAAATGAGCTAAAAATATCCTTCAGTATATCTTGCACTTGGGTGTGCATAAAATATTTATCTTAAATAATTAGAATTATTTGGCTAACACCTTTAAAGAAACTTATGGTGATAATAATGACTTTTGAGATGTTACTTTGACTTAATTGTATTTATCTATCCAAATTATTTATTTTTAATTAAAGAAAAAGCTTTTCTACAAAATTTACCAAACATATGATGTTACTATGTATAATCGTATATATCAAATACCTTATTAATTTCAGCAACCTACCAATTTTAGTAACTACCATAATACTTTCATTTAACTTAGAAACAATTGGTTAAAATAGAGATGGAGAGAGTAAATAGTGCAGTACAATGATTGAAAGTACATAGTAAAATTCAAAGTAAATGGTGTACTCTTCCTACAATGATTAATAATATGGAGTAAAATTTAAAGTAAATGGTATGTATCATTCTATGATTGATTTTTCTTTTTTAAAAAATAAAAGTATCTCAACTTTAATTATTCATTAGTCTCTATACATCATACTAAACGTAAAATTCAAAAAGTAATAGAGGGAGTAACTTTTATAATTGTATTCTTCCTTCTTGATACTACAAGACAATTCTTTTGGATGAAAATAAAGATTAGATGTTGATTTTTCAAGAAACAACGATTTTGTCCAAATACATGTAATAGAAAAATGTGTCGAACATGTGGAAGATGAGAGAATAATCAATTTAATCCAACAGTAGTCAATAATGCTATTATTTGGAGTCTTTGGACTAATTCACTACATAGTACATATAGTTGCATGCACCATCACATACAACAATACAAGCAAGTATAATAACCTTTGCTTTATCATTATCTTAAGGATTTTGCTTAGCTTCCCTTAACCACTCGATTTAAGATAATTATTTTCCTGCTAACAATAATGCCAACCACTTCAATTACATACCTTGAAAATACCAAAGATTATGTCCTAAATAAAGGACATGGTGTTAAGGGTCTAGCTGATATGGGCATAAAATCTTTGCCTAACCAATACATTCAACCGGAAGAAGAAAGGTTCGATCTAGACAAAATCATCCTTACAAACAATGGTGAAAATAATTCGATCCCCATTATCGACATGTCAAATTTAGACGATCATGCAATGAAAACCCTAATTTGTAATGCTGCGGAGAAATGGGGTTTCTTCCAGCTTATCAATCACGGTATGCCTCTTAATGTACTTGAGGATGTCAAGGCTGCGACGTATCGGTTTTTTGAGTTGTCTGCTCAAGAGAAGAGCAAGTTCCTAAAGGAAAATTCTCCTACCAACAATGTGAGGTATGGTACTAGCTTTGTGCCTGAAGTTGAAAGGGCGTTGGAATGGAAGGATTACCTTAGCCTCTTTTTTGTGTCCGAGAAGGAAGCCCTTGCTTGTTGGCCACTTGCATGCAGGTATACTTTATTCTTATGTACTAAGCTAAGTCATTTCTTGTATTACATTTGTCATGATGTCTATCATCGTATATCTTAAATTATTTATAACTTTGATTATCAATATAATATACTTCCCCCGTTTCTTTATAATTGCAACAAATTTCTAAAATGGAAATGCCACAATAATTGCAACACTATAAAACGAAGGTTTTTATGGTGAAAATTGTAATATTACCATTATTTAAAGCTCATGTCCCACTTGATTATACTCCTAACAACTTTTAACCCACTTTTAAGTGTATTTTATCATGTGAGGTTCACTTTTCTTAAAACCATGATAAAGTGTGTGTTGCAACTATAAAGAAACAAATAAAATATATAAATAATAAAAAGTTGATAACTTGAAGAATTGAGGAGAATAATCCAAAAAATCTAACGTTCCCACGTAATTTTCAAGTATAAATCACAAAAATGTGTGCATGCAAAGAAAGTAGGTCATATATATTATCAATACTTGTCAATTATAAAAAAAAAAAAAAAACAAAATAGATTATATGTGTTTGACATTTTAGTATTAATTTTGCTCGCAATATTCCTATATATTGAAAATTTAACATATACGGTACGGTTGTACTCCCTCTATGTTTTTTTTAGTCTTTAAATTTTTACTCTTATGATCAACTTTTATTATTTATAAAAATTCACTATTATATGTATCATTAGAACCATATAATGTTGGGGGATCTAGCATTGAATATATCCTACGAGTACATCATATATGAGTCTTATTAGATGCGACTTTTTATTTTCTTAACCATTTTCAAGTTTTCAATTTCATTGCAAATTTATGTAGGGCTGAAGCATTGGAATACATGAAGAGTTCTGAATTTGTAATAAGAAATCTACTGAAGATCCTTATGAAGGGATTAAACATCCATGAAATTGATGAGAGGAAAAAAACGCTTTTGATGGGCACAAAAAGAATCAATCTTAATTACTACCCAAAATGCCCTAACCCCGAGTTAACGGTCGCAGTAGGGCGACATTCAGATGTATCAACCCTAACTATCCTTCTTCAAGATGACGTCGGTGGGCTATATGTTCGAGGATTAGATGGTGAGAGTTGGATTCATGTACCTCCTATCGATGGTGCTCTTGTAATCAATATTGGTGATGCGCTTCAAATACTTAGCAATGGTAAGTACAAGAGTGTTGAACACCGTGTGATTGCGAATGGACAAAAGAATAGAGTTTCTATACCAATTTTTGTGAATCCAAGGCCAAATGATGTAATTGCTCCATTTGAAGAATTAATGGAAGGAGGAGATAAGCCAAAATATAAAGAGATACTTTACTCAGATTATGTCAAGTATTTCTTCAAAAAGGCTCATGATGGTAAAGCCACGATCGATTTTGCTAAGAATACCAATTGACGTCTTGACGATACTAGCTAGGATAAACCCTAGATTATTGAACTTGAGTTTGTCGTTGCAATAAGTTATGTTGATGCTTTAAAAAATCAGAAATTCTTGTGTGGACCTGCTCCACAATAATATTATTGTGGACTTGAGATTTAAATACACGCATAATTAATGTTATTTGGAATATAGTAATCGTAATTTTAACATAGTGTCCTTATTTTTTTAACATAGTAACCTTTATTAAAACTTGTGTGACCTTTAATGTTATTTCTGTTTATCTCCAAAAAAATTAACCTCTTATAGCTTTTATAATGTCACAATCGCTTTTATTTCAACATAATAACCTTTATTTTAATGTAGTGACCTTTTATTTATTTATTAATAAAACAATCATAGTATCTCTAATGTTAGTGATCTACAATAAATTTGTGTAAACCAGGTCCGTTTAAGAATTTGTATTAAAAAATTTAATATTGTCTTATCTAGTTGTGTTTTGCTCATGTCTTATAACGAGCTTGAGAATCTTATCTGTTGTAATATTATCGTGTCTTAGTTAAATAAAGTAGCAAAATATGGGATGTTTAAACTTGTATGTCTGTTGTAAACTTGCATTGTAATATTATCTAGTCCATTAGAAGGTGTCTTGTATCATTGGTCTATAGAGATGTCAATTCGGATGATTGGATAAGGTTCAGTGAGATCGGATCGGATCGGATCAATTTTTAAAGTTGAGTCATGCTTAATTATTGTGTTTATGCTGTCGAAATCTAAATTAAATCGGATATTTTTTTGGTTGATTTCGAATGAAGGCGGATCGGATGTGATTTTGACAAGTACACCTCTAAGTCTAATCAAAAGTTCTACTAGTATAATCAATGTTGGAAAACTGAAAATCTATTCCCTTATATTATCTTTTGTAGCGTGAACTCATTCTATTTTGATAAATGATAAATATGTTTTACTATACTTATCCGTGCTTACCTGCCTCGATATTTTCACACATTAAATATCTATTCATTTTTCCTATATTTATGTTTTCTTACTTATCCACCTTTATTTATCTTATACTCACTCTACACATCAACACTCTCTCAAAATGCTTATTTTTTATGCAAACAATTTCTGTGCAAAAGAATAAAAACAAATGTTACTTCGAAAAAAAAAAAAAAAATTAAAACATGAATAGTTAAGTGAATGGCTAGAAATTAGAGTAACTCCCGGTCTTTGTATATTAAGCAAATTTTACAAAATATAAATGCAGAAACATTCAGTCGTAAGAATATGTAACAAAAACCAATCCATTATGAGCAAGTTCCCCAAATCCTTCATATGATTATAAGCTTTCACCCAATTATTGGTTTCCCATCACACGGCTCACCAACTTGATTTTCTGAAATAAGGATTTTTTTTTTTGTCATTGTAAGAAACTAACTAATAAATTGGGTAAAATATTGTAAAATACTAGGCAGATTTCAATATTTGACCCGCCTCAAAGCACCTCCGAAACCACCATCTCGTGGACTAAAACTACCCTCACCACACTACTAGAAAAAATAAATTGGGTTTTCAAGAACCGGTGCCAAAGGAAATGGGCGGGTGAAGCTTAATGACTTTTGGCACCGGTGCCAATTACCAAAAAAAAAAAAAAAAAAAAAAAAAAAAAAAAAAAAAAAAAAAAGTGGAATAAGCACCGGTTAACCGGTCCCCCTAATCTTATAAAAACCATATATAATAACCCCCTCTCTCTCTCTGATGAAATGCATGCTCTCCTTCTCTCTCTCCTTATCTCCATCTCGATTTGTTCTTCTCTCTCATCTCTGTTCTTCTTCTTTGTCGTTCTTCTCTTTCATCTCTTCTCTGATTCTCGTTCTTCTTCTTTGATCCCTCTCATCTCTGTTCTTCTCTCTCATCTTTCGTTCATCTCTGATCTCTCTGCGCTTCTCTGATCGATCTCTCATTCTTTATCCTCTTCTCAATAACAACCAAGCACAACAACCAAGCCGCCGCCATCAACCACAACAAACATCGCCGCCACCTAAAATCAAAAATTTGAGGTTAGGGTTTCTCGGTTCTTTAGCTTTGCGTTTCGGTTTCATGGTTCTGGGTAATTTCTGGGTTTTCGGGTTTTTGGGTTTTTTTGTGTTCTTTGGGTTTCTGGGTTTTTTTTGTTTTTTTTCTAGGTTTCTGGGTTTTGTGGGTTGAATCTTTGTGGGTGTATTTGTGCAAAATCGTTTCGTTTTTAATGGGGTTTATTTGATCAATTTATGTTCGATTTTTTGGGTTTATTTGTTCGATTGATTTTAGATTTTTTTAGGGTTTATTTGTTCTATTTATTTTTGGTTTTTTTGGTTGAATTTATCTGGGTTGAATTTGTTCGATTGATTTTCGATTTTGTGGTGGTTTTTTTTGGGTTGAATTTGAGTGATTTATCTTGTTTTGGGTTGATTTTTTATGTTATTAGTAGCATTGTTATCTGATTTTATTGTTTTAATTGATGCAGGTTGAAAGTTTCTGATTTTTTAATTTTCAGTTTGAAGTTCGTGCTTTTTCTGAGTTTGAAGTTCGAAGTTTTTGGGTTTAAAATTACAACTATAGTGATTGTAAATTGTAAAACTACAAATTCAGCGATTTTTCTGTTTTTTTTTTAATAAATTGTAAAATAACAATTTATTTGATGGATATATATTTATATGTGATTGTATATTATGATTTTGGTGTTTTTATTTTTAGGGAAGTTTGATTTTTGGTGTTTTGTTTCATTGTATGCTGAATTTTTCAGTGAAGAAATTTCGATTTTTTATTTTTTATTTTTTGAAGGCATAATTGGCACCGGTTAACCAGTGCCAATTGTAGTTAAAATTAAAAAAAAAAAAAAAAAAACAGCACGACACTTACTTTTGGCACCGGTTAACCGGTGCTAAAGCTCTTAATTGCCACCGGTTTTGTACCGGTGCCAAATCTTCAGAGATTTGGCATCCCTCAAATACCCAACGGTTCAAAACCGGTGCCAAAGAGGGGGTTTGAACCGGTGCCTATTTGCCTTTTTCGCCTAGTGCCAATTCGAAATATCCCCCAACCACCCGCAAAATTGTCATCTTACCACCTTGAAAACCAAATCTCACGATGGTTTCGAGAGTGTTTTGAGGTCGGTCAACGCCGAAAATTAGGTCATCCATGGAGGAAATCCGGCCAAAAGTATAATTTTACAACATTTTACCTTTTATTAGGTAGTTTCTCACAAAATCAAGATTTTTATTAGGTAATTTCTCACAAAATAATCTAAAAATAAAAGAGCAATATTGGAAACATACACCTACTAGAGCGCGCGTTGAGCTAAAAGATCCCTTGATGAAGCATACGTGAAGATTGAATAGTCCTAGAATGAATGAAGCATCCAATAACTATGAAAATCAATACCTAGGGGCTTAACGACATCGATCTAATGTATTTTCTAGCTATAATTAGTAGCTGCTGCCGAAAGAAAAACACTTGGAGTGTTTTTAGATTGAAGGAAATGGATGGAAAGGAAGGGAAGAGAAATGAAAGGAAAGAATATCTTTCATTTGGATAACAAATTAGGGATGAAGGAAATTAAAGGAGTGGGATTAAATTTTAAAAAAAATGATCTCTCAACAATAGGGGTGTTCAAAAATTGGTCCGGACCGAAAAAATGGACAGGACCGGTTCGGACCGACCCCGGACTAGACCAGACCAAATTAATCGGCTTGGTCTTCGGGTTGAGAAATATATTTTTCCGGCCTTCGGTCCGATCCGGTCCAAAACCCAATTAAAACCGGTCTTAAACCGAACCGATTTTTTGCTTAAATTATACATAAAACCTTTAATAATAATTAAGATTATCCTTAACAAGCTTGGAAAACTTTAGTCGTATGAGCTTTTTTATACCAAACATACAAAAAAGACGTTAAAATATTGTTTTTCCTTTATTTTTTTCGTGTTTTCCATAAATTATTTAAAATTTAGGAAATTTTTTTATAAAAATTCTAAAATCGGTCCAAACCGGTCCAGTCCGGGTTTTGAAATGATTTTTTTGGTCCGGTACGGGTTTGGTCCTAGCTTAATCGGTCCGGTCATTGGTTCTTGAAATTCAATTTTTGTCTTCGGTCCGGTCCGGGTTGATCCGATCCGGTCTTGAACCGATAAACAACCCTACCGTCAACAATAGAGAGATTTAAAAGAAAAACCCATCATTCTTCATTCCCTTTCCTTCCCTTCACCTCTCTCCCCTTCTTTTTCTTCCCTTAACATTATATCCAAACAAACTGTTACTATCACATCTTTTAGTGCAAATATCTTGTTGTAATCAATGCCCTCCACCCGATATATGCTTTCCAAAGCCTTGGGCCAAACTATAGACCTAATTTGACTAATGAACTAACATGTACATCAACATTTCTTATCAGGCTACGCTGGTTTATTTCCACAAATTTATTTGGTTAATTAAATTAGGTAGCGTATTTAGTGTTTCTATTCATCTAAAAGTCATTTATCTTATTTAGCCAATTAACCATATTGGTATAAAAGTTAGCACCGTTCCCATGTGACATATTGGTATAAAAGTAATCGACGGCAACAAGTTGCGACATATTATATAAACGTTAACAAGTAACAATAAATTAATATAAAAGTTAGTGATTGGCGATGTTTAAGCCTTTTTTTCTTGCCTGAATGATTGCATATTGTACACATAATTATTCTTATTTTTGTAACTTTAAATCTTTATCTATTGCTTTTCTCCTCTTTTCTTTACTTTTCTATGCTTCAAATATTCATTTTCTTGGACACTATTGAAAGCAAAGAAGAAAATGGGGGAAAGATCGTAAGAGGGTTACATCAAATCATAGGAATTCTCATTCATTTTTGAGATTTTAAAATTAGTTGTTCATACAATTGTTTTTGGTTATTATTTTTCGATAATCTTAGTTGTATGGACTTGGAGAACAGAAATATGTGGGCATTAAATGAGTATTAACAAAAACATTAAAAAATGAAAGAAAATTGGTCAATGAATAAAAATAAAAAGGAATAGAGGAGTAGGTTACATTTTAATATTATTATGTAGAAGTATAAAAGAGGATGAGAATGTTGAAAGTTCTAGCATGCATTTTACAGTACTAGCTAGTTGTAACTTGTAAGCTAGTCAAAAACACATAATGATGACATGGAGTAGTTAACGTGTATTGATGATATTCTGTTC